TTTCTCCTCACTCTGTCACCCTCCAAGTTGGCTTCATCCTGGGGTGGTTTCCAGCCAATGCAGCTGCAGCCGTTTCAGGCAGAATTAAAAGGTAGCTTAACGATTCTCTCTTCTGTATACTGCTTTTGAATCTCTTTCTCCAAAGAACTTTAATTAGGGTTTGTTTAACAGTGTGCAAGGTTTCCACTGTGGGTGAGTAGGTGATAAGGAGCGAAACATGTTCAGTTAGTTGCCATCTCTTATGCGAGAGGTTAGAATTCATGTTTTATGAATTCTAAGTAGAGCTTAGCTATGCTCTGCTCTATGGACATAGGTTATGCCTGTGGCCCTGACCGGTCATCACTTAATTCCATTGGAAGAGAGGTACAAGCACATTTCCCTCAGCAGGAAATATCCCTCAGCAGGAATCCCTCAGCATTTTGAATAATCCACAAAAATCATTAAATCTGAAGGTTGGGAGAATGGATAGATAACTTGATCCAACCACCCTCTGGTCTAATAATGTAAAAATCCTGCAGACCATAAAGATTGATTCATATTTTAAATATGACTTAAAATTCGATTTTCCTGACATGTATCTTTTTAGATAAATTTAATCCCAACATTCATCTAATATAATTCTGGGGTTAAAGAGCTAAATGGTAAAATAGAAAATAAATTAAGGTGCCTAACACATTATAAACTCTTCTTGGTAGTGTTTTCTTTTTTTCAGTATCAACTTCAAGAGTCAGAATTTAAAATGGGATCAGTATACATAATGTTTTATTTAATATTTCTCTAGAAGGGAAACCTCGGATATTTTAGTTTGGTCTTCTTGTTTTAGACAACACAATTTTGCAAATGTGTTTTTCTGCCTGTTATACCAGAAAAGGTAAAGCATTTGCCACAAACACTCTTTGCCTATGCTTCAGATTTACTCTGGATAGTCTAAATTTCCATCAAATAATTTTAAAATCAGTCAGAAGGCTTTAAGAGTTGAAGTCAAATTCCTGATCAGTGTGGCCGTCTAAGGAATTTCACAGACATGCTCTGCAGACTGTGGTGACCACAATGACGTTCTATGTGGTTGGTTAAGTTTTATTTTTGACTCAGAGGGCTATTTGAACTCTAATGGAAAATAGTGGTAATTTCCTAGTTAGGTTTTTTGTAAAGATTAAAACATTGCATGATTTGTGTGGACGTTTCACAAGACTTTTGTGGAATTGCATTACACAAGAATTAACCCTCATTCCATGGAAGCCATCAGGATAAGCCTAATTGAGAGAATACACATATCAGAAGGGCAGATTGAGGAATGGAACCTCAGTATCAAGACTCCCTTAGGTGTCCAGCTAACAAGACTGGAAGCCTTCGGTTTTCTGCACCAGCTTATGATGTTTCTTCTTCCTTTGCTTCTGATGAGGTGTTTAGATAGAGATTTGATTATACACCACTGCAGACATGTGTCACATTAAGAGTGTGGCCCTCAAGGAGGTATATTAAAATCTGCCAGGTATATTAAAATGTGGCAGATTTTCCTTAGGTGAATTTATTTTCACCAGAAATCTTTTTTTTTTTTTTTTTTTTTTTTTCATTTGAGGTCAAAGTAGGATTATCTGTCATTCAGTACAGTTTGTTTTTAGGGTCTTTCCCCTGTACTTGGTTAGACATCTTTTTTTTTTTAAATTTTTTATTTCTTTTCAGCGTAACAGTATTCATTGTTTTTGCACCACACCCAGTGCTCCATGCAATCCGTGCCCTCTCTAATACCCACCACCCGGTTCCCCCAACCTCCCACCCCCCCACCCCTTCAAAACCCTCAGATTGTTTTTCAGAGTCCATAGTCTCTCATGATGGTTAGACATCTTTTAAAAACATTTTTTTGGACTATTCCAGTCACTTCAAGGACTCTTTGTGACTCTTTCCATATAGTCTACTAGATATTTTCGAGATGCTTTTCAGGTGGTGCCGTGTATAAACACAGGAGGTTCACTGTACAAGGGCATGTTCCCAAGGACTGAGTGGGATCTGAAATCCATATTGTCCTCTGCTCACAAAACTGTGCTCTCATGAATGACATACTTTGATTTGAACGAAGTTTGGGCATGGTATGGGCTGGTAAGTGTCCTGATATTTATGTATTACATGTAAAATATTTTCCTTAATCTTGAGACTTGAAATATGTCAAATTTTTCTTTTGTCTTAATTTAAAAAAGAATTTATCTTTTTATCTTTTTTTTATTAATTTTAAAGACTTTATTTATTTATTTGACAGACAGAGATCACAGGCAGGCAGAGAGGCAGGCAGAGAGAGAGGAGGAAGCTGGCTCCCCGCTGAGCAGAGAGCCCAATGTGGGGCTTGATCCCAGGACCCTGGGATCCTGACCTGAGCCGAAGGCAGAGGCTTTAACCCACTGAGCCATCCAGGCGCCCCTTTTTATCTTTTTAACCATTCTTAAGTGTACAGTTCTGTGGCATTAAATATATTCACATTTTTGTGCAACCATTGCCACTATCCATCTCCAGATCTTTTTTATTCTCCTCAACTCTGTACCCTTTAAACACTGACCTCATATACACAACTCCCTTCTCCCAGCAATCACCATTCTGCTTACTGTTGCTACGAATTTAACTACTCTAGGTATTTCGTATAAATGGAACCATACAGTATTCGTCCTTTTGTGAATGATTTATTTTACTTAGCATAATGTCTTCCAGGTAACATGTGACAGAATTCCCTTACTTTTCAAACCTGAATAGTATTCCATTGTGTGTATAGACCACGTGTTGTTTAGCCATTCATCTATTGGTGGTCACTTGGGTTATTTCTATATTTTGACTGTTATGAATGATCCTGCTATGAACATGGGAGTGTACAAATTTTTTGGGTTTCAGTTCTTTGGGGTGTGTATGTACCCAGAATTTTTATTGTTAAATAATATAGTCATTCTATGTTGAATCTTTGAGGAACTGCCATACACTTATCAATAGCGGCTACATCATATTACTTTCCCATCAGTAGTGCATAAGGCTATCCCAAATTCTCCACATCCTCACCAAAGTTTGTTTTTCTTTGTGTGTTTTTTTTTTTTTAAGCTTTTTGTAATAGTCATCCTAATGGATATGAAGGTGTATCTCCTTGGGTTTTTCATTTGCATTTTTCTAACTGTTAGTGATATTGAGCAATATTTTATGTGCTTATTGGCCATTTGTATATCTTTTCTGGAGAAATATCTTTTAAAAGTCTTTGTCCATTTTTTTTCAGTCAGGTTGGTTTTTTTTTTTTTTTTTTTTTTTAGTTATTGAGTTTTAAGAGTTCTTACATATTCTGGATACTAACTTCTTGTCAGAGATATAATTTACAAATATTTTTTCCTGCTATATGGGTTGCTTTTTCATTCTGTTGATAATGTCTCTGAATGCACAGAAATTTTTAATTTTGAGAAGTCTGTTTTATCTTTTTTTTCTTTATTAGCCTATGCCTTTGGTATCATATACGAGAAATCATTGTCAAACTCAATGTCATGTAGATTTTCCTATTGTTTTCCCTAAATGTTCTATAGTTTGAGCTTTTATGTGTAGGTCTTTGATCTACTTTGAGCTTATCCCTCTGCATGGGGATATCCAATTTTCCCATCGTTTTAATGTTTTAAAGACAGTGACCTTTTCGTCAGTGAGGGTCATGGCTGGGAATAAGATGAAGGAGGTAAGCACCTGAACCCAAGTCATGGTCAGAGCAAACCTGGACTTATTCTTCCATTATCCAAGGTTAGATTAACTGGTCTGTGAGAGTAAATGCAGCAGGACCAGGGAAGCATTCACCTCCTAATCGTCTACATCATTTGGCAAGTCTTGGGTTGGTACATGTGATCAGCTCCTTGATGTGAAGAATGGAGAAGAAAAGAGCTAAGCCATTCCTGTACCTGATCTGGATAAGGAAGAGTAGATTCTGAAAACTCTACCCTTGGGTATTGCCCTTGCCACTCATGGTACACCAGAGCCACAACTAGGCTACTCTCCTTAGCCATTTTTAGGCAAGTAATGGGTGCTATGCAACAGTGTCCAATTCTATTTAAAGTCTATCAATTCTTGGTAAAACAAGGTAATTGTATTCTGACAGAGTATAAGAGAAATTTCACGGGATGTTGAATATTCAAAGACCTTTCGTACACTGTAACAGAAATATGGTGCGCCTCAACTGGGAGGAGCCGGTGTGCCTATTTTTGAGCCTGTTACAAGGATAATGGAATAAGGGGAGGAAAACAGATTGTCAAGAGTTGAAAGACAGTACATTAGTGAGTAAGAATATGAACTTTATAATAAGGAAGAACTGGGTTCTTATGCTCTTCTAGCATCTGTAAGATGTTTGCTTTGGGCTAGATGGTTAAACTTTTTCAGGATTTTTTCCCCCCTCTCTTTTTTATGGTGAGAATAATAATAACTGATGCTGTGGGTCTCTGTGAGATTAAATGAGATGAAATGTGTAAATCCAGTGCTTTGACAAGCCTAGGCCTAACATAAGTGCTCAGTAAGATGGTAGCATTGATGAGGGAAGAAGATACCCTGTTACAGGCTTGTTTGTTTAGTAAGGATCTTTGTCTCTCCTGAGAAGAGAGAGCTAGGTATATTCTGGGAGGAAATGTAACAAGTCCACAAATCTCAAGGTTTGTCTTTGTTTTGTTTCTACTTGTCCTTGTTTCTTTCAGCTATTCTAGATCCTTCCAGCTGAGGATTGCTAACGTGTTTCTTTTGTTTCCTCTTTTGGTAGGAATCAGTGTCAGTGATGTTCAGGTTATTTGCTTTTTTTTTGGTTCAGATTATCTTGTAATAAAGTAATTCTTTGAGTTGTTGTTGTACTTATCAACTCACTTAATTGTTATATTTAAGGGTTCCTTCTCTCTTTCAAAGTCCGTATTCATGTGCTCCTTTTACTGAATTGTCTCCTGTTTATTAACTATCTCAGAGTTTTGTTGAGATATCTTGAAGGCATCCTCTTAACCCTTCCCATTGATTCTTGCCAGTGAGAAGAGGGGACGTCCTGGCAGCGTGGAGTGGTATCCGTCCCCTTGTGACAGATCCCAAGTCTGCAGATACTCAGTCCATTTCCCGAAATCATGTCGTGGACATCAGTGAGAGTGGCCTCATCACTATAGCAGGTATGACATATTACCTTGTGTTTTGGGTGTGTTTTAGATAGGACCCTGAGTCAAAGTGTCACACCAGAATCTCTCTTGATGCTAATGAACAGAGAATTTTTTTTGATGATTCTGAGTAAGGTCTTACACATCGCTTTGCTGTATTTGTTATAAACAACAGGTGAATTTTGTTATGAATCAGTTAGCAAATGGGTCATTATAAGAAAAATACGGGGTGGTAACCTAATGAATTATTTATCAAATTATTTGTAGGTGGAAAGTGGACAACGTATCGATCTATGGCAGAAGATACCATAAATGCTGCTATCAAAGCTCACAATTTTAAAGCAGGACCAAGCAGAACAGTTGGGCTTTTCCTTCAAGGGGGCAAAGATTGGAGCCCCACACTGTACATTAGGCTTGTCCAGGATTATGGGCTTGAAAGTGAGGTGAGTGTGAATCATCTTTTTCTCCACCTCATCTCACTACTGCCACAAACAGAATTGGCAACCAGGAGGCCTCCCTGATTTAGAATTTCCTTTTGCCGGGTTCGTTTCTGTCTGCGTGCTGTGGAAGTGAACTAAGGAAAAAAGCTGATCATACTTTTCTTCGGTTGCCTAAAAAGCAAGGCACACGCTAGTTTCTATTTTAAAGTCTGGGGTGGGTTTGGTTTGTTCTCCGCAGACAGAGCATCATCCCACATTCTTTCTGTCTCGAGTGTAAGGAAGGCTGTTCTTCAGAAGTGACATTGGGGGCAGAGTCAAGCCGAAGCTTCATCAGTCACTGATACAGTGATACATGTGTGGCAGAGTTAGTGCTGGCCTAAGCACTCAGAGCCCAAGTGGTTTCCTCCCACAAAATCAAAATCTAATACCCTCCTGGAACTATTAGTTACGGGCCGTGAAGAACTGACAGGATAAGCGTGTACTTTTTTTTTTTTTTTTTTTTTTGCTTCATGCCTAGAAGGTATTGCTCTTCAAAGTACCTGCCTAATGCAGTCTGGTTTCCCTAGGTGGCACAGCATCTCGCCGCTACCTATGGTGACAAGGCTTTTGAGGTGGCCAAGATGGCAAGCGTAACTGGAAAAAGGTGGCCCATCGTTGGCGTGCGTCTTGTGTCAGAATTTCCATACATTGAAGCAGAGGTATGTGAGGGGCTACGTGGAAATCTCTTGTCTGCCATGAGATGCTGGTCACCTACTGAAAAATTATGTATATGGCTAGGGTTTAATGCCCATCTGCCAGCCAAAGCCTTCAGGAAAATGTCTGCCCTGCCCAGATCCCTTCATTTATAAACTTACATGTTAAATATGAAGTGATATGGACAGTGGAAATTATCTTAATAGAAAGGATGTATTTCTTACTCTTCCGCAGAGCTACCCCAAGTCTTGTGACTTCACAGTTGTTTGCCTCTTTTGTAAATTTGTAACTCCTCGAGTTTATACTCACTCGCTGGCTGTTGACATACCTTGGTTTGCACTTAACTTCCCAAAGACTGAAGCTTTATTTCTCATCGAGTTTCTACATTTTGTGAAACCAGAGACCAGGCTTTATATTTATTTATGATTCATTATACTTTAAAGGACGAGGGTCCAGTGAGCATTTGTTTGTTGGTTAACCACAAGCCTTCTGTCCTCTTGATACTCTTAGACAGAAAACTCTGGACAGCCTAAAGAGATGAAACCATACTTTTTTTTTTTAAGTTTATTTATTTGTTTATTTGACAGACAGAGATCACAAGTAGGCAGAGAGGCAGTCAGAGAGAGGAGGAAGCAGGCTCCCTGTTGAGCAGAGAGCCCAATGCAGGGCTCGATCCCAGGACCCTGGGATCATGACCTGAGTAGAAGGCAGAGACTTTAACCCACTGAGCCACCCAGGTGCCCTGAAACCATAGGTTTTAATACTTGTTCTTTGTCTACATGGCTATGTAAATTAACATCCATATGTTGTATAAGCAAAGAGGTAAGTGAGTACTGTGGGTGGTAAATGGGAAGCAATGCAGTTTGCATGTTTGTGCCAGGGTCAGTTCAGGAAGAAGGCGTCAGCTTTTTTCCATTTTGTCCCAATTTATAAACCTCCTTCAGCAGGTGGATGGGGAGCTTGTATGATGTCCTTATTTGTGTCATGCCTCTTAGAGGACCAGGGTATATAAAGAGCAATGTCACTTTCCCCGAGCATGAATTATTTTTAAGTGAAATTTTATTTCTTCTTTTAAAGATAAAGCCCACACTGATAATTTTGCTTTAATTTCAACTCAGGTGAAATATGGGATTAAGGAGTATGCCTGTACAGCAGTGGATATGATTTCACGGCGGACTCGCCTGGCCTTCTTAAATGTCCAGGCGGCAGAGGAAGCCCTCCCCAGGATCGTTGAACTGATGGGCAGAGAACTGAATTGGGATGATTACAAAAAAGAGGTATTATATAGAAGTCTTTGAAACCACAGTTCCGTTAAAACCACAAGACATGTCACGTCTTTGTTAGTAGAGGCTAGTATAGTTTTCAGTGGGAACTTTTGATTTCTTGCCAGTTTCTGCATGTGGGGAATGTGTTTAGTATTGCTAGGTCTTAGGATCCCAACTGGAAAGATATTCTGGTTTCAAAATGTGTTGTTTGTTTCTGGAAAATCCCTTTTAGAAAAATACTCTTCAATTTGTGGTCATAATTCCTGAAAAAGTAGGATAATAATGATTGTGGGTAGAAACTTTTCTGGTTTTCATTGAAAACACTTTTAGAATGTATTCTAAATTTCCATGGTGAAATTCACACTTGTGCAAATTTGCCCTTGGTAGGAAATAGCGGTTTTATTGCCTGACCACTAAATGCTTATTGATTTGTGTCATTTGGAATTTTATATTTATATCCAAATTAAAAAAAAAGAAAAACAGTGATGCTCAGATGCCCACATGTACAGCCCTGGGCTTGTTGTAATAAACAGAAGATTGTCATGATTTTTAATTAAACCAAATTGTTATAATATGCAGAGACATTTTTGTGTATTTATAGGAAAAAATGCTTTCTGTGCTCCTTGGTTCCATTCCTACCCCCTGCCCAGTCTTTCTTAAACCGGTTCCACTGAAGCTTGTTTTTGCCACTTTCTGAGACTAGCTCTGATCACACTCACCGCTGGCTTCCATGTTGCTCAATATACTTGTCAGTTCTTGGTCCTCCATTACTCACGCATTTAGTGGCATTGACACAGTTGATTCCTCCCTCCTTCTTGAACTCCTTTCTGGAATCCTCTCTGTCTTCATCTAGTCAGGCTGCTATTACAGAATACTGCAGTCTAGGGTTACGCTTACCTAGACTTAACAACAGGCATTCCTTTCTCTCGATTCTGGAGGCTAGAAGTCTGAGATCAGAGTGCCAGCATGGTTGGTTTCTGGTAAGAGTGCTCCTGCTGACTCTCAGAGAGCTGCCATCTTGTTGTGTCCTCTCATGGAGGAGAGAAGGGAGGAAGAGGGATCCCATTCTCAAGACTCATCTATCTAAATCTCGCCAAAGCCCCATCTCTGAATACCATCACATTGGGGTTAGGGCTTCAACATATGGATTTGGGGGAGGGGGGCAGTTCAATTCATGGCACCATCTCTTTTGGATCTCCTCCTCTCTCTCCCCACTCACTACCACCACCAGCACTCACGACTACTACTACTACTGACCTCTCCATGTCAAAAATAGCTATTCCACCTTTTAGTTCCTTAGACCTAAATCTCAGTATCATACCTGATCTGAATCCATCCACAAACCGTATCATATTTATCTTCAAATAGTGGCTTGAATTCAACCCCTTCTTAACACAGTCAGCTGCTATCACCCTGCTTTCAGCTACCAGCATTTCTTCCATGGTTTATTATAAAAGCTTCCCTCCCACAGGGCAGTATTCTTACTTTAAAAACTTAGCGATTCTATTAAAACATAAGCCCAGATCTTTGGATATGTCAGTCCAAATGAAGTTCAGAGGGGAGGTCTGAACTAAAGATATAAATTTCTGTTGGTATTTAAGCCATCAGGCTGGACGAGATCATATAGGGAGTTTGTGCAGTGAGATAACAGCAAGTTGTTCCAACACAGCCCTGGAGCTCTCCAGAGTTCGGAAGTGGGGTAGATAAGGAAGATGTCCCAAGCAAGGGAAAGTGATAGCTAGTGAGGTTGGAGAAAGGGTGAGAAGACTGAAGAAGGAGTTGTGTCCCAGAAGGAAAGGAAGAAAATATTTCGAGAAAAGAAAAGTAATCTACTGTATCAAATGATGCTGGTCGACTAGTAGGATGAGGACTGATCATGAACAATTACTTTTGCCGAAACACCCTCTGGTTTACTTGAAGCCAAAGTCATGACAGCGGTTTGTTTACAAGGTCTCCAGGATCTGGCCACCACCTTTCTGATGCCCGTGGACTTCCCATTCACTCATTCCCCACAAGCTGAGTTGCTCTTCCTTATTTAAACCCTGCTGATCCCTCTGCCTGGAATGTGCTTTCCTGGGTACCCTCATGGCCTAGCCCTTCACTTCCTGTCCCTCTCCCTACCTTATTTTTCTCTTTGGCATCTATACCTATTGGATATACCATGTATTCCGTTGTTTGTTTATTTGTTATCTGCCTCTCATCCAGGAAATGAGCTTTCCAATGGAGGCAACATGATCTGCTTTGTTTCTGTAACCTCAGTGCCCGTCATGGTAGGCCCTCAATAAGTAACTGTCAATCAGTGAATGAACATAACTGAGCATCTGTGTCCTATATGGAAGGTGTAAGGAAGGCCTGAGCATAGATCCTGTCCTTAAAACATTCTCATTCTGGTGTAGATTCCCAAAGGTGGTTACATATCAGAATCACCTGAAATATAGGGAAAGCAAACAGATTTTTGAGGCTTGGCTTTAGACTATCAAATTCAGGGTCTTCGTGGCTGAAACCATGGCCCTGCCTTTTTAAATTTCTCCTAACTTTAGTGCAATGTTTGTAGTGTACCGATGGCAGGAGTCACTGGCTGAAGAGGTCCTTCACCTGACCACAAGGTTAACCTTTGGTTAGCCTTTACCCCCTTTTTATAGGTGAGAACACAGGATCAGTGAGTACATCCAGTCAGAGTTCATACAGCTAGTAAATTGTGGAACAGGGGCTGAAGCCAGGTACTCTGAGTTCAGGGCCTGAGCTTTCCCCACCTTGCCCTGTTGCCCCCGCATTGGCAGGACTGGATGTAGCTCTTCCAGTGTCGATTTCGATGTGATGGACTAAAGCTGCCTACAAAGACAACCCAAGAATGAAACTTGTGCCTTTACTAATGCCAATCATTTTTTTTTTTTTTTTTTACCATATAGAAAGATTGGGGATAATGTGTTCCTGTAAAAATTATGGTTGGAAAGATTTGAATATGCAGGAAGATAGCTGGTGCCAGGAATTCAGGCTGTAGGAGGTAGGAAGGAGGAAGAAAATTCTGTAAACTGGCTGTGTTTGGCCCTCCTGAGGAAACTAGATTTAACTTCATTCAGTTCAAGTTTTATGAGTAGATTTGTGTGCTCAGAATATTTTCCCTTCCCCCATCAACAAAGTAAGAGAAATAAATGACCTCAAGTTACCACCTAGTATCTGAGCTGTAGGAGTATTAATGAGACCTGTGGACAGTCTAGAGAGAACAAAGGAGAAGGAAAAAAAAAAAGAATTAAAGGTTAGAAAGCTGGACTTCTGAGAAAAGGTTAAAAGCATTGGGATTATTTAACCTGCAAAAGTGAAAGCAGAACAAGGTGATAAATAACTCTCTGTAGATGAATTGTGGTTGTTTTTCCCAGTCAATACTTAATGAGTGACTTGTATACTGAGCATTATACCAAATATTTTAGAGGAATAATAACTAGCTCATAGTTTCAAGGATCTTGAAATCTAATTGAGTGGTTACAACCAGTATATACCTGAGAAATGCATGTCAGTTTTCAAAATTGAGAGCTACTCGAGAGATCGAATCCAACATCAGAAGAACTGATAAGGGAAGAACACATTGTCTAAGGGAAGTGGGGATTGATAGAGGAGTTGGTGGACATTTAGAGAATGGGACATTGCCAAATTGTGCTCTGCAAGGTGTAAACCAAAAGATGACTGCATGGACAGAAGAATTTGGGAAACTCTGAGTTCAACAAAGGAAACCATTTTTTTTTTCTTTAGCACAGATGGTTTGGTGCTTTCAAATGCCCGTGTGCATTGTCCGTTTCCAAAAGGGAACTTAATCAGAGATGGACCCACCTCTCACTCTTTGGAAGGGCTGGAGGGAGGGAGACTACCACTACTCAAGATGAATGTTGGGAAATGCTGCCATTGCGTTTAGTGAGGTGGATTTTATACTTTCATACATACATACATTTCCTTGAGAGACTTTAAAGAGAAGACCACTTAAGTCAATTGAGAGGGCCTCACAAAAAGAAATTTTTTCAAAATTGATTCTTATGAGAAGGAAAAGGGGTCAGCAAGTGAAGAAATGGGACTGTGATTCAGAACAAAGCCAGCTGATAAATACCATATTTAAAATAGATGGAAGACAGGTGCTCCGCAATGAGAGGGTTCCTGGACTAATGCGAATGTCGGAATAGAACAGTGTCAGGAGTTTCCCTTAACAGTGTCAGGGGAAAAAATGCTAAGGACACCAAAAATAAATTTTATTTTATTTATTTATTTTTTAAAAACTTTTCTCTTTTAAAGATTTTATTTATTTATTTGACAGGCAGAGATCACAAGGAGGCAGAGAGGCAGGCAGGGAGAGAGAGAGAGAGGAAGAAGGCTCCCCGAGGAGCAGAGAGCCCAATGCAGGGCTCGATCCCAGGACCCTGAGATCATGACTTGAGCTGAAGGCAGAGGCTTTAACCCACTGAGCCACCCAGGTGCCCCCAAAAATAAATTTTAAAAATCGAAAAGAATGCATGCAAGGCCTAACCTAGATCATTGCTTAAAATGAGTGGCACCATATTCTTGAATGCTGGAGAAAAGAGATAACAATTCAACTCAGAGTCTAAAACCAAATTTCTTTCCTTCTTTTTTTTTTTTTTGTCAAGGAGAACAGTTTTCAGTGTGAAAAGAGCAAAATAAATATTGGTAAGAGGAAATAGATATTCAAATAGGAGGCTGCTCTAAACGAGTTTATATGCCAGCCCAGAAAAATGATATCTCTGGGTACTCAGAGAATTTGCAGATGGGATTATTTAACTACCGTTGAGCTTTAAAATATTGTGGCAAATAAGAACAGAACCAGAAGACAGAAGGTGGGCAAATGTAGTACAAAATTCCAAAAAGAGAAAGGAAAGAAAAAGACGGTTTTTGTAAGCTGTAAGCCAGCAGGAGAGTGCTGTGAAAAAGCAAGACCGTGTTCTCAACGATAGTTACTATCTGCTGGGACTGGGGACAGTGGAAAGTGCCAGAGTAACTGTTCGGAGAACTTGTTTCTTCTCCTGACTCTGTAACTCCCACCCAACTCTCAGCATCCTTGTGACAAAGCTTCAGGGTAGCTGATCCAATGATGTCTGTCAGTGTCTTTGCCTCCACATCATAGTGGCTGTTTGTCACCTTTAATTGCTTTATTTGCCACTAAACCACAAGGATTGGGTTTTCTAGATTTGGCTAGATGATACTGGGTGAGAATATTCCTCAGGAAAAAGATACAAAATATTAAAACACTCAACAACATGAATGAGTCTCAGAATCATCATGCTGTGTGAAAGCGGTCAGACAGAAAACACTATGTACTATAGGGGCCCTTTTATTTGAAACTCGAGAAAAGGCGAAAACACTCTGGAGACAGAAAGCAGATCAGTGATGGCTTCAGCCTAGCAGATCAACTGAAAAAGAAAAAGAGCCAGAGGAAGCTTCTTCGGGTGATAGAAATGTCCTATATCTTGATCGTGGTAGAGTATACATCAAACTGCGTATCTAAAATAGGTGCATTTTATTGAATATAAATTATACTTCGGTGAAACTGGAAGAAATAAAAAATTGTGCTGGTCAGAAAAGTAAGAAAGGAAAAAAAATCAATAATTCTTTCCATAAATCTTTGAACTTTGTGTATGCTTGTGTTTTAGGAGGAACTTGAAACAGCCAGGAAGTTTCTGTATTATGAAATGGGCTATAAATCTCGATCAGAACAGTTGACAGATCGCTCTGAAATTAGCCTCCTGCCTTCCGACATCGACAGGTACTTCTAACAAGTTTCGATATTTCTCTGTTTTGACTTGACCTACGTAGGTATGTTTTTCCAATGTTCAATGTTGTGTTCCAGGTACAAGAAGAGATTTCATAAGTTTGATGCAGACCAAAAGGGCTTTATTACCATTGTTGATGTTCAGCGTGTATTAGAGGTAAGATTTTTTTAGCTCAATGTCTTTGCTAGTAAAAAAACATAAAAACTCGATTAGATCATTTTTTCTGCCTCTAATGCTTTCTATGAGTAATTTTCTCCTGTAATTTTTGAAAGGTTGGTAGCTTTAATAAAAGGGCATGCATCATTTTTAATTAAACCTCGTTATTTTGTGCTTTCCTTTCATTTAGAGTATCAACGTCCAAATGGATGAAAATACACTACATGAAATTCTGAATGAAGTAGACTTGAACAAAAATGGACAGGTGGAACTCAATGAGTTTTTGCAGGTGAGCTGTGGTGAGGGGAAACATGTGCGTTTGGTTTTTATCTTTTGGTTGTAAATGGCTGTTCGAGAATGGATTCTTTTTTTTATTTTTTTTTTAAGATTTTATTTATTTGACAGGCAGAGAGGCAGGCAGAGACAGAGAGAGGGGGAAGCAGGCTCCCTGCCAAGCAGAGAGCCTGATGCAGGGCTCCATCCCAGGACCCTGGGATCATGACCTGAGCCAAAGGCAGAGGCTTTAACCCACTGAGCCACCCAGGCGCCCCCTCAGGATGGATTCTTAAGTCCACACCGTTGTCACACGTCATTCTGAAAAAAAGAATGCTTGAAGCCAGCAAAGTTTGCCTGGGTCTGCGCTCAAGGATCAGCGTCTGCCTGGAGCATGTTCTTTTCTTTCTTTCTTTCTTCCTTTCTTTCTTTCTTTCTTTCTTTCTTTCTTTCTTTCTTTCTTTCTTGTTTTTCTCTTTGTTTTGTTTTGTTTTGTTTTCTTCTTCTAAGATGTTCTGTTGTGTTGGGCAGTTTCGATGAACAAGTTAATCCTGGTTTAAAGGGCTGAATAAGAAGTATGCTTTTTAGAAAAATATGCCATGGACTACTACTGCCAGACCATTTTTCGCCTGCTTCAAAAGAGGCACACACCGTATTTCTAATGTGGAAAGTAATTTTTTTAAAGATGTTAAAAAAAAAATTCTAGTTGTATTGATTTGAGGATATTTACTAGAGACCCTGCAATGTAATTATTATATTCCCACATAATGAAAAACCCAAAAAGCGAAAGAAAGGAAACCTGTATTTTTGGGGTCAAGACCCCATAATTCAAGCATTTCTATTTCCATTGTTCCACTTCCCCAATTCTCAATTGTTTAATCGTAATCGTGAAGAAAGCAAATTCTGTTATTCTAACTTCCAACTGAAGGCTACGCATCATTCCTTAAAAGTTGCTTAAAAGAAGGAAATTTAATAAACCCATACATTATTTGTAGCTGTGCATAGGACTCTGTTCATATGAAGAATGCACTGGTTTCCAAGTGGTCGGGTTTTTTCCACAGTGCTTCTCGGGGCAGGTATTTCAAATGAATGCCAGGTCTTGCTTGTACCCTGGCAATGATGAATGCTGAACATGAAATAAATTAATGCTGGGGATTTTGGTCAATGTCAGCCCTTTCTTCACTGTGTCAAGTTAAACAAACAATATCAAGGCAAAGGAAATGGTAATTGTCTCTCTGGAGATGAGCTGCAGATAAGAGCATTGTTGAATCTAAATGCAGAAAATTTTCACAGGTTGTGTCCAGCATTACAAAAAAGAATGTTTAGTTCTTTAGCTTACTATTTAAGTGCACATTTGAAATGGAGTTTAAAATATATGCTGGGGAATTAGAAACCATTGAATACATTTTTTTTTTTTTGGTCTAGTTTTTTCTCAAGAATATTTTATTGTTTGTCTCAGAATTTTAGAAAACTTTTCTTCAAAGAAATAGCTTATGCTTCATTTCATGCGTGTTGTAAATAAACAATAGCATTTAGGGTTGAAAGATCTGGAGTTTTAGAAACAATAAGAGTCTAATTTTATGGATATGCTATGTGGCTTGGGTTTTAAGTAATTTTCTTGAGTGCAATAGAATTAAACACATGGAAAATAATTTAAACCATCTGCAGAGTTCCTTGTAGAGTTTTTAAATAATTATTTCTTGTCCACTTCTAAATGAAAGAGACTATTCATGCTTCTACTAAGTACAAATACACAGTGTAATTTTCAACTTAAAAAATGCTGACCATATTTCTCATGAAATATATTCACACCTGAATGTTGTTGTTGTTTTTTCCCCTCATAATATGGTTTCAAGATACTTGTAATGTTTAAAGAAAACTGAATTTTTAAAGGTTGGTACATCATATACTGTTTATGAATCAAGAAAAAAAACTCTAGCTCTATCAGTTTTGTTAGCTCCGATAAACTTAGAAGGTCTTCATGGAACCATAGACAAAACAATAAACAGTAAATTGTTCTGCCTTTAGATGTCAGCATTCTTTATGTTACACCATTTGTCAGACGTAAAGTATGTTTTCAGTGTGTTTTTTTAAAATAAATTATTTTTCTTTTCCGAACATAAAGAGCCCATGTTTATCCCATGAAACACCTATTTGAATATAGATCTGTGTTTTCAGTAATCATCATGGAACGTTCGATCACTACAGATGTTGCATGGTTACATGACTTTATTTTTAGGTTTGGGCTCTAATGACGTCCTGCATGTAGGAGTCCATCTCTAATAAGCAGTGGCTTGTGAAACAGCTTTTAATAAGGTCATGAAATTCTGATCCAACCCTTTGGCAGATGCCTCTGACTCTTATTCAGAGTCATTTTTAAGAAATGTATCTCTGTAGGCTCAAGAGTATAACCCTAAAAATATTTTGAGAATTTTTCCTGGTGAATGGCTGAGTTCTTTTCCAAATAAATAAATACAAAAGATTGGGAAAGTGAGATCAAGAAAAGCAAATAGTTAAAACCACATCAACTTGAGAAAGAAAGAAAAAAATCCCCATGCTCATAATTGCAAAGTGCCTTCCAGATTAAAGGCCTTTGCCCGCTGACTGCATGTAATTTCAAGACTAATTCTGATTTTATCCATTGGATAAAAATGAATTAACTAAAATCTGGGCTGTGGAGTGCTTTTAATTCTTAAGGTAGATCTCTGGGTCCATTTCAAGGACTTAAATGTAAATTACTTTAAAAAGTCTTTAAGGAATTTGGATTTAAGGGACTTGAATTTGTCAAGTACAGTAACACTAAAAAGGAGTAGTTAAATATAGGTCATGATTTGTCTTTGTTCAATCCCCAAGATTCCTTTTTAAGATTTTTAAATGAAATTACAGATCCAATATTTGAGTGGCTCCAAAAAAATAGGTGCCCTGAGCACATGAAAGGGGCAAAAAGTGATGCATTTGATTTGCATTTTAAAAGCAGGTTGATTGGCTAGATAGGTATAGTTTTCACAACCCTGAAACATCTGCCCCTTTCCTGCCTTTTGAGATGTTCAAAGATTGTATTCTTCTTATTGGAGCTGTGACACCCGCTATGGGTTTTTGATGGAGCTGCTGCAGAGGTAACCATTAAAATGCGGTGAAGAAGCGGGGAAGCACGCTGCCTTCTGACCCTGTTGCCTATTTTCTCTTGAAGCTGATGAGTGCTATTCAGAAAGGAAGGGTGTCCGGAAGCCGGCTCGCGATCCTGATGAAAACTGCAGAAGAGAACCTCGACAGAAGAGTCCCCATTCCAGTGGACCGAAGCTGTGGAGGATTGTGAGTCTGGGCGGTACATCCACAGCCAACAGACACAGGAACCACCAATCATCCCGTAACAACCAGAGATGACTTAGACCACTCCAAAATAGTGGCCATGGGTAGCTGCTTTTGTTAACACTGGGGAACATTCCAAAGCTTCAGGGCGTTGATTTGTCTTCGCCATTCAGTCTAGCTTCTGAACAGCGTATTTCATCTTGTTTCTCACCGATTTAATGTTTTGCATCCATTTTGTGACCTGTTAGACTGGACATACTCCCTTTTTGTCTGTCTCTTCATTTATTCTGGATCAGTCTTAAGGACAGAGCATTTTGGCCAAAATTGAATAGAAGCTGGAAAAATTTCGTGACGTGCACCAAGCTCTGGACGTTAAGACTGTAGGTAGGATTTGCTCCTAACAGAAATTGAGCAGGGAGTGACCTATAGAAATGATAGCATTTCTGGAGACCACTCAGATCCTTCTTCCCCGAGCTGGTCTTTCTTCCCCATCCAAACAATATTGTGTAGTTTCATATCCAGGGTATGACTGGCAAAACTGGAGAGGGAAGACAAAGTTTAGATCTGGTTACAGGAGCGAGTCTCAAAGAGAAACTCTGAACGCTTCCAGAATCACAGGTGTACGATAAGGATAGCATTGACATTTGCTGGATTACACTGATAGTTTCGTCTCAGCAATTCATTTTTTTCCCCCCAGTCACTGCTGGTTTTTCTTTGACTATTATAGTTGCCAGGAAGATCCTTGCTTTTCATATTTTAAAACCAGCATTTAAGTGGCAAGTTGGATGTAATGGGATGAGACTAAACTTCTCAAATCCTTACAGCAGTAATAAAGTTAAAGATTTAAAATCTGTGTGTGTATATCCACACACGATAGCACGATTTTCAATCCCCAAATCCTAAACTGTGGAGCATGTGTTGTTGTCAAACATGGCCCATTTGGCTTAGTTTATTGCATCATTTTGGGGGAGTAATTTCAAATGGAGAGTAAAAGAGGATCGAAGTAACCTTTAGTTAACTTTATTATTTGTAAAAAGGCACAATGCTTCAGTATTCAAGGTCATTTGGGTTGCTTAAAGCCTTTCTCCTTCGTGGAAAAGTTCTCAACCACAGAGAAAAAGAAAAGAAATAAAACCACGCACAACTCATACCCACACACAGACCCCTCCTGCACCACACACACACACACACACACACACACACAAACAAAAATAAACCTGTATTGAATTTAACAAATAATGCATTGAATTTAAAGGGCCAATGTGGTATGATGCTTTTGCAATACTTCACTAGCATTTTAACCAATGATCTGAATTTTTACCCACTGTGCTTCCTTCTGTGAGGTTAACTACCTGTCTTTTTATTTTCTAAGATCAGGTTGTGTATGTAATAGGAGATAGAACTCTATATTTAATGGCAGGCTTTAATTGCACAGACTTGAGATCTTAGGTTGTTTTTTTTGTTTTTGTTTTTTTTTAAACTGATACATAAAACACTTTGTGCTGTTATTTCTATTTATGTGACCATTGTAGTGTACCTTTCTGCCTCATTCGACTGGGGTATGAGCCTGGAGGTCATAATGTTAACACTGGACGTTCACTCAACCTAAGCCCCCATCCCACTTCAAAACATTCATTTGTTTTTTTTTAAATGAAGTTCAGATTTGCCACTTCCATAAGGAAAACCTAAAACGGAGCCAAGGATGCTCCCAGGTATCACTGTGAACATTTTTCTTTCAACGTGGGAGCATTTTACACTGCCTTTAAAAAACAAAAACAAAAACAAAAACAAAAACAAAAAAACATTAGAAGCATGTGGCTTTGTAATTTAGTGGGTTTTTTTTGTTTTTTGTTTTTGTTTTTTAATCAAGACAATAAGTTCCACTGTTTAGAACCTGGTGACCCTTGATAAAAATGCTGTCCTTTAAAGCACCATGGATGACGTACCACAATACAGTACATTTGTGCTCTCTCTCTTTCTCTCTTTCTAGTTAGATCAAGATAGCGAGAACTTGTGCCCTCCCTGAACCCTGAACCCATTACAGTAGGGACCGGCTTAATAGGCTGGCTGGCCTGTGCAGAACTGTGTGTGTACAACAGGCTGGTTTGTGCACGCTTTGCTCGGAGTAAGTTCCTTTAAGGACAAAGAAAAGCACACTTTGCTTCCTTTGAGTGTCTCTGCTTTTGCTGAAAATCTGCTAATTCTAAAACATACGCTCCTTCACCAATCCCAGAGACTCGTCTTGGAAGTGAGCTGGTTCCAAGTCTTTACTGTGAATAAAGCACCCCCGCATTTTTGTGTGAGTTCTTAATTAAACCTGTACAGCTTCTGTACCTGATTTTAGAAAAGGGGAAAGGAAATGGAGGGATTAGCCCCTTCAAAACCTATTCTAAGGACAAGGGAATTTTTCTTTTCTTTTTGTATGTATGGGATACTAGGTGATTCTGTGGGGGTGGGGTGGGGGGTGCAGAGATTGTCTTTATCATCAAGTGATTTGTTTCAAGAGCCTTTAAGGGGATTCAGGTGAAGGAACCCCCATCTGTGGGGAAGAGATGGATTCTCCTTTAAATAGCCCCATACCACAGTCCTAACGATAGTGACCATGCTGGATTATTTGTTAAGCCAAGGCTGTCTGCCTCATAGCCCTCACGCTGTTTGCAAGATTCTTGCTTTCAATCAATTTATACCAAGTGCAACTTTAGGATTTCTACTATTAAATGCATGCTCCCTATTCTGCTTTAGTTTCTAGCTTCGTTTTGTCTTTTCCAAAATATGTGGCTTTGTGTCTTGTACAACAACACAAATTTCATTGTGACTTTGACTAAACATACTGTAAGGATGATCACCGATCTTACTTCCTTTTTTATGTATTGGTAAAGATTTTTTGGCCTATGAATGTAATAACATTAAAGTCAGTGACGCTCTAACTTGCACTGTTTTGCATTATGTCCACCGTTTTCAGGGAATAAAAAAGCCCTACTGTGTTTTTAAAGACTCAAGTACAAGCCGGTGCTGGAGTGGATACGCGCACTGCATGCCTTTAAATGTGGCCCTTTCGTGTATGTGTTGGGTTATTGTTCTAGATGGGACTGTTAAATACTGTGTTTGAGGCTGGGTTGTCATTTTTATAACTGTCTTGGTGTTTTATCGCCATTATTTATTACTTTTGATATACAGAATGAGCTGCATGCATTTATAGAGCAATAAGAAGATGTATTTAATGTGCCTTGTTTTTAACTGAATAAGAACTGAAAGTACGAATCAATAAAACTGATTAAAATGGTCCAGTTGCTGGCATTTTGATGTTACTTACAGTCAGAGAAATAACTTTGATTACTGTTGAAGTTTAAAAAAAGTTTGAAAATATTTCCAGCAACTTTGTGTTTTTTTTTTGTTTGTTTTTTTTTTTAATGGCACTTACCCATTAATTCTTCTGGCTTGGAATTTTGTAATTTTCATCTCAAAAGTGAATCTCTGCATAGACAAATGTAATTTTATGAGACTGCCAGAATTATTTGTATTAATTTGTTGCTGGAGCCTTTAGGGCACGACTTCTGTATTTGTGCAATCCTATTCTAAAATTATATTCATCCCGTTACAACTCTGTTGAATTCTTTTTTTTTTTTTTCTTTCCTCCACCTCCCCCACCCCCCACACTTGGTCATCCAGCGCTTTTCAGCCTGAGTGTTCCCAGGCACACTGATGAATTTTATCATAACTAAAATCAATAGAAATGAATGGGAAAGATTACATAATCCATTTTGATCATCTTACATGTCAAGTTAGTGCAGGGTTGCCAAGTGTTGATAAATGCTCTGACAGAAAAAATGCTATATATTTTCATTGTCAGTAAATCAGTAAAGCTGTTATCAGTTTTAACACAAATTTTATAATGCCCGTGTTATTTTATAGGTTTTGATTTACACATGTATATGGAGCGTGTTCTCCATTTGTGGTTTAGATGGGCGGCCTCCTGGTTTTACATGCTCAAAGGTCTGTGTGAGTTTCTGAAGGTTCTTTGAAATTGTATAGAATCCCGCAAAGCGATGACTCCCGGACAGACTTGCAACAATGAGCTGTTTGTTCAGTGCCTGGAGAAAAATATATTGCCGCTCAAAACGTCATCCAGTGAGCTAGCTTATCTAATTTTATAGCACTTTAAAATTTGTCAACATAAAATTTGTCCAAATCCCTGGCTCCCAGTTTTCAAAATGTATAAAATGTATGGTAAATCAAAGAAAGGGAAATAGATACTAACATCCATATTCGCAATCTTTGGCAACACTGCATTATCACCGGTGTCGGATTTCACCTGATGCCTTTTGACTTACAAAGGAAGGAAACATAAGTTTCCAATTGATGTGGCACCCTCAAAAGGAGAGAATTTCTGTAGAGGAGATGGCGTTGATGAGCCTTTTGTGCCTATATTTTGTACTTGAGGCATCCGGCTACCAAACTCATGAAATGCACACACGAAACGTCAGCTGTGTGAGCTATTAGGACACGCGAGATAATCCTGCAAGATCCAGGGCTAAGACGGTTTGGGACCCTTGGCAAAAAGTCAAGAACTACCTTCGCATTTCGTTAAATCCCTGATCCAGAATCCCAAGATTCATCTGATCTAAGCAAGATACCACTTGAGCAAAATGATCGGGGCCATGTTCCTTCTCCTCATTTGACACTGAATGGCATTGTTCAGTAAACCAGTAAACCCTACCACCAGTTCCCCTGTGAGTTCCCCGTATTCGTGTCAGAGTCGCTTGAAACCGTGGAGGTTAAGGTATGTAACCTGTAGTCGTGGAGAGTGTCTCACGTTTCAGCGAAGAAAAGGGAGGCTTGAGTGTCATGGCACCCACCATGGCTACTGTTAGAGCGTGGCACTTGCCCCTTCTGGTTTCATCAAATTCTGAGCCCTTCCAGCCCGTTATCTGGTGTCTTAAGCAGTGTCTCTGGTCTCATTTTCCAGGTACGGCGGCTCCCGTAGAGCCCAGCTTCACTTCTCTGTTGCTGCTGCTAGCTTTTCTTCACTGTGATGTCTCAAGGAGCGGGGAGGTGTAAAAAAAAACATTTTCCTTTTTTTGGCCCTAAGGCCTGTAAAAAGCAGTTTGGGTTGAGGACAGTCTTGAATCAGGAAAGCTGCTTTTTCTTAGTCCCAGGATTTCTTTACTCATTTTAACCTTCTAAAACTTGGTCTGACGTTTTCATAAGCTCTTAAAAATTCCACTTCGGCATATCTGATTTTGCTTTAAAGGCTACCTTCCTCTGTTTGTCTAAGTGATCTAAACGTAATGAGCTTGATCAACATATCACTTTTCTTGAACCTGACCTTAATGGCCTCTTCAGAGCAAGCAGTCCCCTCTTCATTACCTCCTTCCTTCAAGGGTCTTAAACAGCTGCTGACGTTTCCTTTTCGTTTGTTGCCTGGTAGATTTGCTCTTCTTTGCTTGAAATAATTTCATCTTGTTGTCTTCCATTCTCACCATTAATGGATTTACAATTCATTTTTATGCATCTTGAGTTTTTCCTATCCAAGTTAAGAAGCTGTAAATCTTAGATCCATTGAAATGACAGTGAGAAATATTTCATTTTATCCCATGAATCATTTGCCATACTTATTGCAGAAAAATGGCAAAATTATGGTGTACCATGTTTTCATAAATTACCCTGTCTCCCCCCCACACCCCAATTCATTTCATTATTTGTTTGGAAAGACTGTAAGAGTCAGAATCCAGACACTTGTGGTAAACAATTTTGATTTTACAGCAGGCTTATCAAAATTTCATAACATCACAAATTAATTCCTCTGGCACCGTGAAGAATTTAATTCATGTACAAAATATATCATCTATCTTATAACTAAAAAAATAGCTTTATATTAAAGTACACTCTGTGATTTGCTAGTATAACAAAAGGGGAAGAGTACCGAAATCCTTAAATAATGTATATAATTTTCATTGGGTTTCATATGTCAAAGTAGTCATTTATGTCCTGAAAGGTGTGTGCTTTGCACTATGTGTTTGAACACTATTAAAAAATCATGGCTTCTTCCAAAAAGGACAAATCATAGATTTGCATTTCACATATGGCCTGGGATGAAATATTTTAACTGGAGACTCGCTCCCCCTGCCCTTAGGAACAGCCTCCAAAGTAAAGACCGAGAATATTTCTAAGGATAAATATTTTTAAAAAGCAATAAACCAAATCAGTTACTATCATGTTAGACCATTGCTAAATGGACAGGTTTGTCTGTTGTCCTTAATCTCTATTTTATTACCTGGTCTTTTTAAGGAACTCCGGTCAGTTATTTATACAGTTGAAAAAGTCAGGTTTATCTTGATAAATATATTCTTCAGAGTGAACTGCTAAACTGTTTTCAAAATGGGCCATTTTTTAAATGGAGCTTATCCAGCTTGATCCATGCTTTAAGCAGCACTGAACCATTAAATAAAAACCTGGGACAAAATGCCTTTGAAAAGGGTTAATTAGCTTTAATATTGATTTATTCCATATAGGGCGCTAATAGACTAGAACATTTATTTCTGTTTTGGATCATTAAAAACCAGCTTTCGTTCTTGAACAATTTGTTTCTAATAAATAAAAATTAGAGCAATTAGAGTAGTTTTAGTACAACCTACAATCCATGATGCACTTTCTAAGAAAACAAAAACCCGATCACTCTTTCACAATTTATTGCAATTCCATCAGAAATACCATCCTCAAAACCCTCCCGAGATCATTAAGCTCAAGACCCAAGTTATTTCTACTTGAACCCTAGAAAGGGTGAGCTGTAGAGGGAGCAAACGTGGGGACTGAAGATCTGCCTGAAGCTAAATGGGCAGATGCAATTCCGTGTCATTTTCCTCTGACAGTAGTGTTTGTTCCCATCTTTCCCATTCCTTAGCTTTCTCCATTCATTGGCTTTACCCTCGGAAAATACTACCGAGTCGAAAAAGTTTACCTCGGCAAGGTACTCCCTTGTCTATCTTCAGGGGACACCGCCCCTGCTGTGCTCAGTTTTTGTTCTAATGCTGCCCTCTAATGGATACCAAATTATTTCATTAGACCCAGAACAAAAGTAAATTTCCAGCTTCTTAGAGCTCCTCCTGCCCTCGTCCATCACTCTTTGAGATGGTAGGCTGCTTGTCTTGTCCCCTGACCCCTATCTCCCCAACCTGGGTCAGTGTAGGAGAGACCACTCCAGTCAACTGGGAGGAGACGGCTGGCCGGGGCTAGCCTCCCTCTTCTGAGCCACGGAGGGACAGCGATGCTAATGTATGCCCTATCGAACTTTCCTTTTTTCTTGGCCAGCGATTGGAAAGAATTGATGTTCTGGGGGACTTAAAAATGAGGAATAAAAACAGTGTAAGTGCTGTATTAAGATGATATGCTGTATGTTTTATCAGCCACTGGCACCTAGTTCAAAAGACAAAAAAATTAGCAGCAGTGGTTTGGGAATAGGTCTGTGCACGGGGTGGATATCAAATCCATACATGAAGAATATCAGCACTTTTCACATGCTGCTTTCTGACACCCATTGCTAGAGCTGAAAACTATCTCTATTGTCCAGTTTGATTGCTTGAATCAAACTGATTTACAGCAAATCCATCTGAGCTTTGATAAATCTATTACAGTTTCATTTCACTGATTTCATTAACGTGAATAAAACCAGCCATGCTTTCTGCATAACTGCCTTTTAATGGCTTGGCCCTGTCACCTGCCTGAATATTAATCCCCCTGACTTATTGCTCCACAGAGGGAATGAGTAATGGGTATTTGAATGTGATCAGCACAGTACAATGCAATTAAGGAAGCAGTACTGTTCTGTGCCTTTAATCCTGAACTAATTTGAATTGCAGTTTGATAGCACAGTGAATCCTGCATAATTATGTAGGGTGCATATTAAACTCTGTGACAAACCGGAGAAGCTTTTAACCATCACAGCTATGGTAGACAGGGGAAGGCCAGAGGCAGAGAGCCCACTATTGGACCGAGAGCTCAATTAATAGGAAACCTGCAGCAGGGAAATCTTGGAGAGCAACAGATCTTGGGACAAAAATACAAAGTGTTGACTTGTGACGAGTACATTCTATTTTACAAGTATTTGGGCTTTCAGGGCTTCTTCTGAGTTTGCAAGGTGGGAAGGGGGAGACTCTTACTTGTAACAAAACTTTATACTGTCTCCGATCTCCGTCCTTTGAGCAGTTAGAAAAACAGCGGCTGTAATAATAATACGCAGCTTCTTCGCCATCCACTTACTTGATCCTCTACAGTTCTGCAAATGGT